TTTTTTTTTTTTTTTAAAAAGGCACCTTTATCCATATTTACACAACTCTGTTTTGCTTCTCTCCAAAGATACTTTTGCTTCTGGTATACGTAGGTTGTATATCAACGATGGCTAATCTTTTTGTCGTCGCGTGCCAAAAGCACGTGCGCCCATACCCACAATGCAATGCGTGCATGACACCCCACCCTCTGCGCCAGGGGCGGCGACCTCGTGCACACGCGCGGTGCACGCATGCGTACTAGCGTCTGTGCGAGGCTCCAGCTGCTCCTGGCGGATCGCGCAGGCGCTGTATGCGTCCTGTGCAGGCGCTGTATGCGTCCTGCGCATGCGTGGAAGCGCAGAACTCGTCAAAACCGGGTAAGGAGCACGGGCGGGCGGGTGGACCCTTCGCCGTTCCCGGAAGTTACTTACTTCCGGGTTCACCGACCAACCGGTTCGCGGGGACCGCCGCGAACCCCACCCCTGCGCATGCGTGCACGACACCGTGCATTCCCCTTTGCCCTCTTGTGCCTGCGAGCACGACCCCCGTGCTCCCCCCACCCCCGCGCATGCACATGCGACCCCCTTCACAACCCATTTTGGGCCTAGTAGGCCTCACTGCAGCCTCGTGGAACAAAAAACGGGCTGCGGGGAGCACACTGCACCCCCCCTGCTACCTTCTGCCGCTGTGTATGTGCGTGTGACCCCCCCCCCCGTGCACATGCACGCGCAACACCCCCCCGTGCCCCCTTTTGGGCCTAGTAGGCTTCCCTGCAGCCTCCTGGGACCAAAAGGCTCACCATATCCCCATTCCCCTCCGTGCATGCGGACATGACGCAAAAACCAGCTGGCTGGCGGGAGGTGCGCATGCATACACGGTGGAACTGAACTGAGGTGACGGCGTGCATGCCCGCAAAGAGGGCTCTGCGTGCCACCTGTGCCATAGGTTTGCCATCACGGCTGTACATCTTCGTGTCCGCTCAAGGGGGAGCTCACTAAACCTATCTGACTGACCAGCTTTCTAAAAAAAAAAAAACCCCACTATTTTTTCACTTTGCCCCATTTATTTAGCTCACCCGAACGTGGGCCGGTTGTTGGTGTTGGGAAAAGCCAGCTTAGATGCCACCACCTCGAGATTCCTGCTACGACCACGCAAGGCATTTCATTGCAACTCTTACTAGTGCCCAGTTGCTTATCTGCAGGCTATATTCACAGAGTCACTAATAAAACCTTTGCAGTCTTATTCTGCACGCATCCCAGATGCCTTTACACCTTTGCAAAAAAAAAAAAAGAGGATTCCCCCCTTTCCCTTCTTCTTCTTCTTCTCCCCCCCCCTCCCCATCTCTTTTTTTTTAGCTAGTGACCCAACCCAGGGAAGAGCCTTGTCAGATTTCTGGAGCAATATTCCCCCACCCTCCTAACAACAAAGCTTGGGAGACTTTGGACTACGCCCTGCCAGACTCAGCTGGAGAAAGAAATCCTCGCTCTCTTTCTCTCTCGCTCGCTCTTTTTTTTTTTTACGAGCTCAAGTTATCCCAGCAGTGAGAAACGCGCTTCCTCCCCCCCCCCTCACTCCCCTTTCTCTCTCTCTCTAATGTCTTTGACGTCAGAGCCGCGAAACCATAGCAACTGTCCATCACGTTGGATGAGCACACGAGGGAAGTGGGAGAAAAAGAAGGGATCTAGTTCAAGCGAGGCTCCGGGAGCGCTCGGGAAAAAAAAAAGAGAGAGAGAGAGAAAGGCACAATGGACGCATTTGTGTTGTGACATTCCGAGCCTTGCAAAAAAACCATCATCATCATCATCATAACAACCCCCCCAAAAAAATCGCGCTGCAGGAAGAGAAAGGCACGGAACGGCGCCCGAGGGGAAGAAATCGCAAGTAGTTATGTGGGTACCCGTGTATCGGGCGTTTGAGTGTGAGTGTGTGTGCGCGCGCGGAGGAGCTGCCGGTCGTGAGAAAGAGGCGCGCGGCATTTCTTAAGGCAACCCCCCCCCCATCCCAGCCAGCCAGCCAGCTATCCACCCCACCCCCCGAGCCGCCTGCCGAGTCCGGGTCGGTGTCGTCGCTCCAGCCGGGGGTCGCCATCAAAAGAGAAAGAAAGAAAGAAATCCACCCACGTTGCAGCGGGAGGAAAGAAAGGTGGGGGGAGGATCTCCAGGGCCGATCACCGGCTCCCCGTTTCTTCCCCATTGGAACAAAAGAGACGGGCGCAGCACGTAGCCCCCCCAAATCTGCCTACGGCCATATTATTATCATTATTAATATTAATATTATTATTATTAATCTAGGATCTTTTTCCCGGTGGGAAACCCTTCCACCTCCTCCGCCCCTTCCACCCACCCACCCATCACCCCTTCCCCGGATCCTGGATCTCTTCGCGTCCTGAAAGCGCGCGGTGGTTTCGGGCTGGGCGGAGGCGTGCAGCCAGCCCAACAGCCCAGCGACTCGCGGGGCGCTTATTGGGGAAGGGTGGTGGGAGCGAGCCCCCCCCCACTCCCCGATCGCCGCGTCCCTCCCGCCTCGCCCGGACTTTCTCCGCAGCCGGCGGCGTTTCGCGGAAATCCCAGGGGGCGGATCGGAGAGGAGGGGTGGGTGGGTGGGTGTGGCGACGGGGCTCTGCCGCAAGGGAGGGTGGGACACCCCCCCCTCTCAAGTCCTCCTTCCAACGGGATACCTGCTGTTTCAAATTGCGGGGTTGGGGGTCCCGGGACAAACCTAATTTGCGGGTCTCGGGGTTTGAATTCTACCAGGAGGAGGAGGAAGAAGAGGAGAGAGCGCTCTCGCTTGAGAAGTTGCTGCTACAAGTGGTTAATAGCACTAGCAACGGCACTTAGACTTATACACCGCTTCGCAGGGCTTTTACAGCCCTCTCTAAGCGGTTTGCAGAGTCGGCCTATTTGCCCCCCAACAATCTGGGTCCTCATTTTACCCACCTCGGAAGGATGGAAGGTTGAGTCAACCTTGAGTCAGCCCGGTTAATTAAGATCTCCCCGGTTAATTAAGATCTCCCGGGTTAGAAATCGGCCAGGTTCAGACGTGTAAAAAGACCTCCTGCCTTTCCCACCTCCATCCCTTAAAAAAAAAAAAAGAATTATGTCTCTAATTTCTTCTTCTCTGAAACTTGTCCCGCATGTCTCAGAGCATGGTTTGTTTCAATGCACAGCATCGCTTATCCGTCTGTTTTGGGGGGAATTCCAGGAACGAGATGGTTTGGGGGGTAGTCTGGGGTGAGGGAGGGGGAAAGCTTGTTCATTCTGGATGGGAGATAGAGGAGAATCCAGCAAACAGGTGCCTTGCCTGTTTTGTAAGTTGTGGCGGCATGCCGCACAAAAAAATCAGGGTGGGACGGTTGTCCGCATTCACCGTGTTCTGGAATTCTGCTGCTTCTTCGACGTTTTCTTGCAGACGTTTCATGACCCAACTAGGGAACATTATCAAGGCTAGAAGGGAGGGGTGTTTGCAGGAAGGAGGAGGGCTGTGGGGTCCTTGGTTGGTTGGGAGCTCCAGATCCACACCTTGCAAACCAACCAGACAAGAAGAGGCTCATCTGCACGCCCGCAGACCCCTCCCCCCTTGAAACTAAACATAGAATAATTTTTCTCTCTGTCTCATTCTCAAAAACGGTGAATTAAAACTAATAGTTTCTGGCCATCTCTTGGTTGTATGGCAGGGGGCTCTTAGGGTTATTTGTAGAATGCATTTGCGGACTGTGAAACATTAATTGGGGTGGGGGGGCAACCGGACCTGTTTAAAATGAAATGACATTATAGTAATTTGCAATCACTGGTGGTTTTTTTTTTAGCACTTTGACACTTAAGTTCTCCCAAAACGATGCCTAGCAATTCTTTCATTTTTTGGTACTCCAAGCGTTTTAAAAGATGCTCCCTGATTTGCTACCTAGGAGGGGAATCCTGTTAGTGACCGTGCACATTAAGACATACAACTCTTGTACTGGTAACGTGTATTTTTTTTCTTCTTTTTCACTTATCCCGGTTATTAGAACCTAGCTCAGGTGTGGGCCCTTTTTTTTTTAACAAATACAATTTACATCGGCTTGCATGTATTGGCTTTGGGAAGGAAGGCAAATACATTTTGCATGTGAGTTCTACTGAATGGATGGGCTTGTTGTTGCCCACAGATGGATAAGCAAATAATCCCAATACAACAGCCCTGTGTTCCAAAAGGCAGAGAGGTTTTTTTTGCAGACAATATGGTGCCATTTCTCATCACTTCTGGCAGAAATGATGCAGCAAAAGGTGCTCTGCAGTGTAGCCTCTCAAGCGTGAGAGCGGCGGTGCTTCTACCATTTTGGTCCCAGAGAATGTGGAATGCAAACTAGATGGAGTTATTAAGTCTTAATCGAAGCTTAGTAAAAAGATTACAATCTTCCTCATCGCACACAGTGCATTGATGGGAGAAGAGCAAGGAGGAAACCCTTGCTATTCTGCATCACAAATGTTAACGGAACAAGGCCTTCCCGGGCCATTCTTGTTTTAAGCAAGAAGCACATAATGGTTATGGAACCTCCAAACATTTCAGGGAGTTTCAGGAAATAGCATTTATTTACCTTCTTTAATTTATTTCAAAATAGATTCCTGAAGCACCTGAGCCAGAGCCCTGAAGTGAGCCAATTCACGTTACCTACTTGCTATATGTACATAAAGTTGTCAGTCCTCCTTTGTTAAGTATGGATCCCAATTGTTTATCAGTTTTCCCATTTTTTTCCTTCTTAGAAAACCGCCGTATAAAAGATATATGTTGCATTTTGGATGGTGCAACTGATTTTGATGCCTCAAAGACCAAAGCTCCAGCGAGATTAAACGGAATACGTTTAGCTCTATGGTGGTTTTTCTGAAGCACGTAGAACAGTCTTAAAACATTTTCTCCCATATTTCATAGAGCAATACAGGGGATATGAAAAGACTACACACACGCGTTAAAATGCGAAGTTTTTGAGATGTGAAAAAAAAATCAGATCAAGATAAATCACTTCAGGATTTC